CCTACAGGATAAGTAAGGTCCACAAGGTATCAAAGCACCTTTACAGGGAAAGTGCTTGGACAGTCTAGGCAGATAAGGCCTCATTCTATGAGGTTCTTAGCACCTCCTGAAAGTGCTTAGCACCTTCCATTTCTATTTTCGTGAGACGCCACATATAAATGTTCAGAGCTTTCAGTAAATGAACTGTTTTTCTTCAAATGGAATAGTTTTTCCTACCTCAATGAAGAGTATAAAACAAGTTGTCTGAAGCTTTTAACTTCACCTGACTGAATTATAAAGTCATAAAATTTCAATCATAACATATGCATAAAGATTTTCAATTTATTTATTTTTACATTTGCATGACTCAAAATCACTGAAACAATTTTGCCACAGTTGGAAAAAAACAACAACAGTTTGTGAATATGGTGAACAGTATTCAACAAGGTTTGGGTTCTGGTGGTTTTGGCAACTGTTTGTGGAGTTTGTTTTGAACATGTTATTTCAAGATACATCATTCTCATCTGACAGTAACAATTTAAAGTCTTAAACATTTAGAAAGGCCTCAAGAAAAGCATGAGATACATTTAGACAATTAAAGAGAAAAAAAGAGAAGACAGCAAAATATAAAAAGAAATAATACTTGCATATACAGGAAAATAATTGTTCCAGAAATAGCATAGCAAAAGGATTTAATTTGAAACTTAATAAAAGACAAAACTATTTTGCTAATTTCTGGCAAGAACTGTTATTATTACAAATATTGCTAATATTTTTAGTATTTTCAGGCAGTCAAATTGAGGTATTAGTAAGGTGGATAGTTTCTCTTCAGTACTCATCTCACTATTTTCTTTAGAAGTCAGTTGTTTAGAGAGCAAAGACTGTCAATTTTTTTAAGGTAGTCTTCCCCTTCTTTACTAAGGGAAAGCATGCATGACAACAAAGCAAAGCCCTTCAAATTTAAGAACTGAAATTTTGCTCCGAGTTTTTAATAGATTATAACCCACTGCTGGCTAAATTCCACAGAAATCGCAGGGCACCTTTGTTTTTTCAGGATGAAATCTTTGTCTTGAATTTACTTTAAATCCTCTAAAATGCAAGAAATTACCCCAGTACATATTTCCAAACTATGGGGAGAAGAGTTTCAGACACCTCACTTTAATGTTTTGGGGAGGGGAAAAGTATTGTTTTTAAATACATCAAATCTCTCGCATTTAAACAAGTTTAAAATTGTGATATGCATGAACAAGGTATTTTCTGCCAGAAGATTAATTTAGTGCAGCTTTTTATCTGATTAGGATTCATTAGGATCCATTTCCTATTCCCCACTTTCAAATTTGGCCACCATTATCCTTGAATTCATCAGTCCCAGACTGAATATGGTAGCTCACTGTATCTGTGACTGCAGGTAGAAGCAACACAGACAGAGTTTGCTACAAAACATATCATCGCTTTGTTCTGGCCCCTCCATTGGCTCCTAATGTGCTTCCCCGGCCTGTTCAAGCTTTGATTTCAATGTTCAAAGTCCTCAATGGATCAAGACCCAATTACATCTCCTATGGCATATCTCCAGCCATGAACCGCCAGAGAGTTTACAAAACTCAAGATGAATCATATAAGATCTGGAGATCAACTATTCTCATTCAATGGCTGTGAAATGAGCTTCCAGACAAAGTCAGACTAGTTCAGAGTTTGATCAGTTTATGGGCATGCTATAAAACCCTGCTATTTGTGTGAAAGTCTTCACACCACAACCAGAATGAGGTGCAGGATACAGAGATTAAATGCAAACAAACAATATAGCCTTCTGTACTAGGGTGAGAGAGAAGTGCAGAAGACTTCATGAACTAGAGACCTCACCTTGTAAATCTAATTTACTTGGGAGGCACCTCAATAATACAAAAAGACAAGTGATTGATAGCTGGAGATACACACAATTATGAAGAATCCTGAGTAGAGGCAAGGTCTTGGTTATCTTGATAAACAACATGTTGTCAAATAACAACAACAATATGAATCAGGGAAGAAGTGACATTATCAAAAACACACTGGGTACAAGCATAAGATAAGGACAACAATAATCATGAGTATATCGTGAGCAGGGCTTGATTAATCCCAATTACAAATTAATAGGATCAAGAGACATGAAAGAAACAAATGAATGCACAGATTTGGCGATGCATAATAATTACATCAGGTGAAACAGGCTATAGCAGCCTTTCACTAAATTTTATAAAAAACATTGGCAACCAAGCTGACTAGGTTCAATACATGTCTGATGAACGCTAATCAACAAGCATATAGCTTGGAGACCTGGCAGGTGCATAGCAAGCTGGAAAAAAAAAAAAACTTTGATACCTCTTCACAACAACGTTACCATTCTACAAACAGACTGATGTCAGAAAGGATTTAAAAAGAAACTGGAAATTGCCATACCATCCAGATGATGACCAGGGCCCCAAAGAGGGAGGCTAAACAAACAAAACAAATCAGACAGATGGGTTGAAGACCATGGCCTTCTCCACTGTTCTTTAAAAGAAGAGAAAGCCAGACACAAAGTGAAATGACAACAACAGAGAAAGAAGGAGAAAGAAACAAACGAAGAAGCATCAAAAGGAATTGGTGATGTGCCCAAAAAGGAAAGATGATCTGGTAGTTAAGAGCTGTAGCCTGGGTCTTGTGAGAGGCAACAGACTTCCTGTGTGATCTCGGCAAGTCCTCACCATCTCTGTCTCAGTTCCCCATCTGTAAAATGGGGATAATAGTGCTTCCTTACTTCACATGGGAGTTGTACGAATAACACATTAAATATTGTGACGGGCTCAGGTACTAGAGTGATGGGGACCATATAAATATGACAGATAAATTAGATAAGAAATCCTCATGACAGTGCTGATTACAGTAAGCCAAATTTCAAGAGATCAAAAATCATGAGAGATTGGTGGTTATCTTGCAAGTTCAGCCCCATTGACAGTAATAGGAGATGGTGGCCATTCTGAATAAGGGAAAATTTGTGAACTGGACGCCTTTTATCACGTTTTCATGAGAGAGGTTAAAAAACACCCTGAAATTGCTAGACATGATAAAAATCACAGATGTTAGCAATACTGTGATTAGAAAATAGATTTCAAAACAAAGACTACTCAATAAGGAAGAAAAAGTATTCCATGAACAGACTGTCATATGTCCAGAGGGGTCCTAAAAAGAGTGTGAAACAGCGGTTAAATATCCTTGTGGCATCCTGTGTCTTCTACATGAATATACATCTACGCTGTAGGAAGGATAGGGATGGGGACATCTTTATTTAGATTTAGAGCACCATAAGATGGTACAGAAGATGTACAAACAAACGTGGAGAAAAAACAAGTTTACTGTTTCTAATAGCTTATTATCCAACTCTGCTAAAGTGTGAAACACGGGACAACAATTTAGTCACAAGAAGTTGGAGACAATTTCAGAGCGAATCAGTGTAATAAGCTTACATGAAAGAAGTGGATTTTAAGGAGGTATTTAAAAGTAGAAAATGGAAGGTGCTTAGTACACAGAAATAGTAGGTGATTCCAAGCATAGGAGCAGACTAAAGAAAGGTAAAGATGAGTGAGATGGCACAGAGTGGAGTGAGCAAAAGAGAAGAACAAAATGAAAGCAAAGATGTATGTGGGGATGGAGTTTTACACATACTGCTCAGGGCTTTTAGTTCACACAGTTTTGACAACTGACTAGAAAATGCAAAATTATAGTAAAGGATTATTTGCCTTCACCAAAATTGAGTTGTTAGTTTGATTATGATATCTTAGCTGTCATGTTTAGTTTTCCAAATTACACCTTTTACTTCACAGTTAGGCAATGTACTGTCATAACTAGTTTTCTACGACAAAGCATATTAACGGACACCAGATTATTTCACATTCTAAAAAGTGACTTCATAGTAGTGTGATTCATATGAATAACTTCCCAAGATTAAGATTTAACTTGGCATACGGACAGGTGAACACTAGTATGGAATCATTTTGTTCTGAACTCACTAGGCTAAGTCCTTAATGAAATTCAGCATGGCACCAGTTATACCAATGGAGGATCTGACCCACCTTGAAACTTGATGATTTTGGTTCACTGGGTTTACACAAAGGTTATTTTTTGTTTTGGTTCACATTCTGAGTTTTGCTTAGAATTTCAGATTGGAAGAAACCCAAAAACACAAAGTGAAACAACACCTTGTTTATACTAAATCTTCCATGGTTTCCAATCCAAATTGTAAATCATCTTTATTTCACTCAAAACTTGGCCTAGGTTTACCCTTTCAGCAGTCTTTCCCAAGAAGTCAGAATAACTAACCGACAATTTAGATCACAACAACAGTGTTAGACTTCTGCACCTGTTATCTCCTGCCTAGTATAACTGAGGGAGAAAGAGGAGTTACTCATCTGATTGTCCCAGAGGAACAGGTCTCACAAAAGGTGCCTATGCAAATTTGCCTATCCTGTATAATGGATGCTCTGGATATAGAATTTTACAGGTTATAAAAGTGTATCTACAAATATAATAAAAATTTAAAAAGCAACTGAAGGAATAACCTTAATAATAAAAAGAGAGATGACATTTTAACCAGGAAAATTATCTACTTTTTGTGGGACATTGTGGATCAGAGGAGTGCTTATTTGTTTAGATACATGCACTCCACCTATCTTAGTCTTTAAGCTGCTTGTGAAATTGTTTAAAAAGCAAAATACAAACATATAAAAGAGCAGCATATTTCTTCCTTCCCCCATATCCCACAACCAGTCAGAACATACAATACAAGTCAAAGTCATAAACATTCATCACCCAAGGTAAGCGGTACTCACATACATAATAGCGCTTAAGTATGCGAGTGAAGTGAATTTTCAGGGTGGAAAAGGAAAAAAGGAGGGAGGCACTGTGATGATGAGCACAGGTACTTAAAATAAAAATGTAATCATCTTCTTGTCCGGCATGCTGGCAAACGTACTCATGAATCAATATTAAACAGAAGGTGCTCATACCTGAAAGTGAACTTGGCCTTCTGAGATGTCAGCTGTTCAGTGTGCCCAGTGAGATCCATTTCTCCATCTTCAAAAGATAATTGTGTTGCACCCTATTGAGAGAGTCACATTTTGAAACAAAATGTATTTTTATGGATTTGAAACAATAGCTGTATGATATTTGAGTCTCCGCTTGAAATGGAAAACAAGAACAAGAAGTATTCTCAGCATTCCAATTGGCAGTTGAAATGAGAGGTTCTGTTCTATATATAGAACGTGAGGCACTCTGCTGTTTCTCTGAGTACTTTGTATCTGAGGTGTTTTCCTTACTGAACAGAGTCCTTCGTGTTTACAATGACTTTCTGGTTTAATACTCTGGGAAGTCCATGATCATTATTTGCTTTCAGAAAGGATCTTTCAGAACTCAAATGCTAACATACTGTACAGTAATTAACGCCACATGTATTATACGGTACATTAGGTCTATATTATATAGCAGCAGTCTCCCCTGCCCAAACTTATTTGGCTTGTTGAGGGATTTGGTGAGGCACCTCCCCTTTTATCTCGTGGTTGTGCCCTAATTCCTCATTTTCTTCCCCTTCCCTGAGCAGTTCATTCCCTCCCCAAATTTACATGGTCCATTGGTGACTCAGATATGCTCAGTGTCTGCCAGGTCAGGGTGGAAGGGGATCAGAGAGGAGGAAAACTGATTCTGCTGGAGCCCGGCTCACTTGGCCATCTTGCCCCACAAGTCTAGATCTCCTCTACCCTCATGAGTCAGAGAGAGAGGCATGACATACTCATGTGGCCCCCACAGCACTCTCCAAATTAAAGGGACAGTGCAGACGCTGCAGACTAGAGCTTGCATACCCAAAAAGCTGCTTGGAAACAGAAAAAGCCTTCTGGCTTCCCCAATGCCATTTGCCAGAGGATGAGGGGGAATAGCTGGAGGGAAAGGATTGTGAATAATCACCGAAACTCTGCAAGAAAGTACTTGAAGCTGAATTTTTCTGGAGCTTCTGAGCTCCATGGAGGTATAGTAGAGGTACTCTCTCTTATGCAGAGCTGGCCTGAAACTCTCACTTTTTCTGATCCAGAGCCACCTCCTCAGCCCATGATGAACTGGCTGGCTTTGAAGAAACCCAATAGCTTTGCCTCTTCTTCATTATCTGCTTTGGCAATAGTGCTATACCAGGGAGAATATTTATGTGGTAAAAGCAGTTTTTTTGCAACAACCTCACAGAAAAGGACGTTACACAGCCATTTGACCAGACACAAAATATGTTGCACACAGGGACCTGACATTAACACCAAAGCACTTTGGAAACTATTATTTAACTTTCTGTTCCAGAACCTCATGTTCTTTGTGTTTGCTTTTTTCTTTATTGGGAAAGGGAAGAGGTACCAAAGAGATAAGACAACTGTCAGCTTGTGATGTATTAGCTTTAATGTACTGTACTTCACTGTGACCCTCATGGCAATAATGTAAACAGAGCAAAATTCATAACAAAGACCTTCTCTGGAGAGGTCACTTCTGCCAGCTCTGTAACAGGAATATAGCTGGAAGATATAAATCTTCAGATGTCAACACACAAAAAGAACTCAATTCATTGTTTGATCTTAACCAGATAAAAAATAAAGTTAATTTTTTTTTTGGTGCAATGGCACACATTCTTCCAGTGTATATTCTTACAGTTACCAAGTTGTCTTCAGATAACCAGAGTGGCAAGGTTGTATATCAAATCTAAAAATACCAGCTGGATTGGTTATTCTATTTCTCAATAATAAGAGCTTATGGCCTAAGAAGAAACTATATTATAACTTTCCATTTCTCAGAGAAATATGATTTTGTAAGACTGGCATTGTTGGGATCAATACATATGGTGTCTCGATGATTTCTATGACAAGTTGTTCAGTTTATAAGTAACAAGGGGGGAAAAAGATAGATTTTTCTTGCAAACTAAGTTTGGAATCGGTAGATCAAGCTGGGTTTTATCTTGTTCACAAACTATTTTTTAAGTGGAATCTAACATATCAACAGAATTGTTACCTAATCTGAATAGAAGCCAGCTCACTCCAATGTAGAACAGTAAAACCAATACAGCTAATAAGAACAAAAGCTATTTTTTTTTGTCATTAAAGTAAGTAAATAAGACTGAGTACACAGAGGAGGCAGATATTTTGCAGACATTTTCATAGTGGAACCACTGTTCAAGGGACAATTCTCTGATAAACTGTAAGAATTCCCTACTCAGTATTATCTCCTAAATGAACAATGCAATCTCAAACAAAGGGTAAGTGATGCAAATCTGACACACAGTCTCCAAGTGATGACTTCCACTTCCTAGCAAATCCAGCCTTGATGACAATAAGGTCCACAAGCAGACAAACTTCATTAACAAGAATGTACTAGATCTAGCAACTCACTAGCAAAGCAAACCCTATAACAACATGGTAATACTGGTGCCGAAGAGGCTTTAGCCTTTGTATAGGGTTGGCAATAGTAACAGGAATAGAAATATCAGAATTTGATCTCATACTGCGCCTTTTACTCACAAGTATTCCTAGATTTTAAGACATAAAGGACCTTTTTGATCACCTGATCTCCAGCATAACAAAGACCTTAGAAACTCACCCCGTAATTTCTGCATCAAACCCAGAACTTCTGTTCGAGCTGTACTCTCGACTCAAAGACATAAGGCACTCAATCACAATAGTCATTATTAGGAGCTGACAGATAGTATGCACACAGCCTTACATATTAAAACCTCTTATTGACAGAGGGAAGGTGGACCAGAACACTGAGTTTACAATCAGAGAAGTGGAATGGACTCTCTTGTTTCAGTGCGATAATCACCAGAAATGGACAGAAGGGAATTCCATGTAATACCGCAGCTAACATGTAGAACTGTACTATGTTTAAGCCCATCACCTTCTGGCCCAAATGTGAGAATGCTAGCGCGTAAGCTTATGGCAACACAAGAACCATTAAAAAAAAAAAAACAACAAATAATCCCACAACAATGCTTCCAGGGCTGATTTCAGATTTTTCAACAGCAGCAGAAGTAATAACTGTGTCACCACATAATTTACTCAGAGTCAAATGACAGCATAATACAAAAGCACTACAGTTTGTATTTTGCAAATAAAGAGTATAACATGCTAAATCATGTGGTGAAAGGAAAGTCATGAAATTGCACATATCTAAAAATAGAGAAAATATTTTTACTTTCAGCTTATTTAAGAAATTTAAAGAAAGTGCTGTTAAAAACATGTCTTTCAAATTAGAATCAGAAGGGAGAAAACAAGCCTTCTGTAATAAAGTCAACTTTGAAACCTATCCTCTTGGCTAGTCCTGTACAAACACATATAACCCAAATGCTTGAAAATTTCTTGTATTCCTTTTGCTACAGCTCTCAAATTGCACACGCCTGCATGCGCCTGAGAGAGTGTGCAAACCATTGATTGAGATATATTAGAAACCTCCCACCCCGAGAAGATGTACTATCATTCCTTCTCAACAAAAAATACTGTTTAGATTTGCTGTACATTAAACACAACACTGAAAAGATGTTAGAGATAACCAGGCAAACAGGTGTAAAAATGTTCCATTACAAAGCTAGCATGATAAAATGGCTACTTACCTTTTATTGTGATTCTTCAACAGCACTGTGTCTGCATAGTCACACTAGAGAGGAATGTGTCCCCAACCCAGCAATGCTCAGCTTCAGAAATATTCAGAGCTCAGGTTATAAAAGGACCCCCAACTACCTCAATTCCTCCTGGTAAACCAAGAATGCTGTGGGATTAGTACTTATAGGCAATGGGGAAGATGGGCAGGCAGTGTGAAAATGCTGATACAAAACTCTTGAAGAGCTACAGTTATGACAAGTAACCATAATTTTCTTCTTGTGGTCCAGTCAATGGCAGATACACAGCGTGGTTTCCTACCTCCACAGGAATTCTGCCACCATTGTTTTCAATATTAGCATCGACTGGGTGATGGATAAGCTTGAGGAGGCAGCTGTCGATGCCGCTGAGCTGAGCACTATTCTGTTTTGAGATCTTGAATAAGCCAATGACATTTCTTGTTGGCTCAGTTTGGTGAATCGCTGCACTGACAGGTCAATCTTGTCGGGCAAGAAGCAGCACACATTGGTCTGGTTATTAAGCAGGATAAAACAAAGACCCTGACCATCACTATGATGCAGCCTCTAGCTCCAGATTATAACCAGCTCAGTATTAACCTGTCCGGGCAGGACATTGGGAAAGTGGCAACTGTTGAAGACTTGGACAGCATCATAGACAGTAATGGAGGATGCTCAAGAGATGTAGACACCTGTATAGCAGCAGCTGCCGCCATATTTTGGGCCCTTCGGCAGCCTCTGTGGAGATGCCACAACATCAAAGCTTGCTTCAAAGCTGCAGATCAATAGAACCCTTGGTTATACCAACTTTGTTGCATAGCAGCAAAACATGGCACTGACGAAGTCTGAAGAGCACTGGACTGACATTTTCAATTCTCATTGTGTTTGCCAGCTGCTCCACATTAAGTGTCAGGACAAGATCAGAAAAGAGGATATTCTAAGCCAAACACAGCAATTGGCTCCATCAGCACCGGTTCGGCTTAGGCAGCTTTCTTGGCATGGACATGTTATTAGGATGGAAGTCCAACAAATTCTGAAGCATCTTTACCAAAGAATGCCGCTACACAGCTGGCGATCAGGTGGTCGCCAAAAGCTTCAGAGGTGCGATAAGATTTCCAGGGATGGACAAACTGAGTATTCAGCCAGACTACCTTAAGAACCCATCTAGAGATCAATCTGGGAGGTGCTCAGTCTGCTAGGAGACCACGTTCCTTTGGGATTTGCCATGATGATGATGGTTCCCAAAGCAAGTCTCAGAATCAGATGCTGAGTTGAGAGAGTAGTGCTGTGTAAATGCCTGAAGAAAACCCCAGGTGCCAGCCCTGCAGGAGGAACACCTTGCACCTAGTGCATGAGATGTGCACTTAACACTATCTTTTATCAATTTGAAGAATGCATCAACTAGGGGAGTTTATGTACATATAGACGAAGCCCAAAGTGAAATATCTTGATTTGGAACTTTATTT